TCACTTCATAGCGGAGAACAATGTCCAGCTGCCTCACATCAGCTACACGCTGCCTGTGTCGAGACCGAGCCCCGCTGTTGACCACGGCAACACTCTTCTACTGCCAATGTCAACAGGTGCGCCCATCAGAGGGAATGTCAGGTACGCCTTTCAAGCGCAGCTGGAGATCCCGGATGACACCCCAAGCCTGAAGCCGACGAGGCCGAGCGTCAATACGTTCTTTCTCGAGTACAACCCGGGCGAGTCGCTTATGAGTGGTCGTGTGGCCGCCAGCGCCTTCACGCCTTCCCGCATCCGTCACCTCATTAATGCCGCCCTCGAGTCCTGGAGCAATAGTGTGGTGGCTCTCCAGTCAGTCATCACCGTCCGCGTGGAGACCATCACGACTGTCCCGAGAGGAGGCTGCATCCGTGTGACCTTCCCCATCGAGTTCCAGCTAACCACGGGGGCGTGCGTCAACTATCGCAGCATCTTGGCTGCTGGAGGGACGTTGCTGCCTGACGACGCCATCTGCGAGGCACAGGACCGCTTTAATAGTGAGGTGCCCTTCACTCCCGGCTATTTCCGCATCATCGCCATCAATTCGCCCTTCCCTCCCGGCGTCTACCGCTTCCAGGTTGAGGTGACGAATCCAACAGACGCAGGCCAGCCCGTTGACCCGCTTCTTATTGAGGCGATCGAGGACTGCGAGAAGGCGTCACCTGACTATACAGACACATCAACAACCGTCCTTGCGTATGAAGTCTTCCCGCAAATGCAGGCGGCTTACATTTTTGCGGAGCAGGAGGGGTCAGAGGCGGACAGGAATGACAGAGCGCAGGCCCTCAACAGGGTGACGATCGTCTTTGCTCTCAACGCGGCGTCCGTCTCGGGCGAACAGATGACTCTGATTGCTCCCCAAGGGTTCATATTTGCTGAGGATTGCGGGCCTGTTGAGACAGTGAAGCCTCTCGCCTCGTTCACGGGGGCAGGACACACAGTGAAGCCTCTCGCCTCGTTCACGGGGGCAGGACACGCACACTGGGGCTTGCACCTCTTTCCTGAAGGTCGGGAGAAGGAAAGACCGGTCGTCGTGTGCTCTGAGCTGCTGTGTGGTGTTGTGTCTCTCTTTATCACACAGGCGTGACATTCTCGACGTGTCGCGGCGAGAGCAGTGTAGCTCGGATGAACATTTCTGGCGGCACGCTCGACAAGGACCTCAAATATCTTTTCAAGATCAGCGTCACCAATCCCGCGGTCACCCCATCTCCCAACCTGTGGAGTCTCAGCTTCAGCAACGAGGCCTCCAGTCCCTTCGCCGGCTTTGATATCTGGGCGTTCCGGGCTGCCGGCATCACGCCAACCAACCTGGCGCGGTCCACGGAGCTGGCTGCAACTGTCAACGAGGTGGCCATCTCTTTCACGCCCTTCACCACTCTTAAGAGCGGTGTCATACGGATACTGGCGCCAGCTGGCTTCGCCTTCTCGACAATATGCGCACCCAAAGTGTCGCAGCTGAACGAGCTCGGCGAGTCGGTAAAGGTGTTCTCGTCGGAAGAGATCACGTGTGAGGGCACAGCTCCGCCATCCAACTTCGTCCGTCTGCGGCTAATGAGCGCGGCTGCGCAGAGCTGGCTGTATTCCAATACGCCGTATCTCATTCAGCTGGAAGTCACCAACCCGAGACAAATTATCGAAGTGGCTGGCTCATGGCAGCTCATGTCTTGCTCGGAGGAGAGCAATCAGGGGACATCTTGCCCAGCCGACTTCATCCAGGACACGTCAACGATCGCTGGGTTCCCAATCAACGACATCATGGACGAGTGAGCCGGAGCAGCCCGTCGCTGAATGTGTCTCTGCGCAGCCTGCTGTTTTTCTTAGATTCCGCATTGACACGCCCCCTAGCCGATCTGGCAATGAAGAGGTGACGCTGCGCTTTCACCTGGACTTTCCAACCGACATAAGGGCGGGAGACGTCGTTGAGATCAGCGCGCCACACACCTATCTTCTTGGCGATGGCAAGAGCACCAAATGCCGCAACTACACGTCGTATGCGGGTGACCTCTTGCCGCTAAATGCCGACGACGACACCGAGCCCAACCCTCGATGCACGCTGAATACGATCAAGTTAAAAGGCAGACAGTGGAAGAGACACGCTGTCTCTTCATATTTTCACCTTGCAGGTTCTTGATCGAGAAGCAGATCTCTGAAGACCTCGAGCTCTCGTTCTCGATTGTGACTGCCAACCCTGAGATCACTCCCTCGCCCAACTACTTCGAATGCCGCCACTACACGCCAAGTGTTATCTCGATTGACGGCAGCGACGACGCGTCAGAGAAGGCTCATTTGTCGGCGCATTTCACGGGCTACGGTATCATCCCGCAACTCATTCAGCCTTCCATTTTCCCCGATGCCGACGACGCGCAGTTCGCCGCAGGAGGTACAAACAGAGAGAGGTTCTTTGCCTTTGCAATGCTGCGTGTGTCTCAGGGTCCATGAAAGCCCACATCACCTTCACGACCGTGTCTGAGGCCGACTCGATCCTCATCGAGTCGCCGCTATTGGACTTCACGACTGTGGCAGTCACAGGCGGAAGCCACGCACTTGGAAAGCAGGGCGAAATGGAGGCTGACCTCGAGCTGGCCGCACGAGACTTCGCCCAAATCACCCTCAGCTCGATTATCAATCCAGAGGAGGCGGCTGGCATGACATACTGGCACCTCGCGACGTACAAGACCGACCTGGAGGGAAAGAAAAAGGTATTGTGTCCTGCACATACCAGTTCCATTTTCTCACCCTCTGTGTGTGTGCCCTCAGAAGCAAGATGAAGCCTTTCACCTGCCGGGCTATGCCGTGTATGGTCGCCTCCGCATTGTCACCAGCCAGACGACGGACCCATTCTACGGCAGCAGCCAGAACACAATAACACTGACCATCAAGACCGATGTGGCTGTCTCTGCTGGGGACTTCATCAGCATCGATGCTCCGACGGGCTTCATCATCCACACGCTCCATGAGGACGTGTCCGAGGGCATGGAAGCCTTCTTCGATCATGGAAGTGTGGGGCAGCGTCTCAACAAGACGTCAAGCTTCTATGCAAGGTTCGGGAGGGACTGGTCATCTGGCGCGGGCCTCACCTTCCAGCTGGAGGTGTCGAATCCTCTGTCGTCTCTTCTCGACAACTCGTGGAGGATCGCAACCACACGGGATGAAGCCGGCCTGAACATCACAAACACAAACGACGGCCTCTTCCCTGGATTCTCGCTCCTCGGCTTCTTCAGTGAGGTCGGCGAAAGGCAAAGACAGACGTGTTGTCCTGTGTTGGTGTCTGAGATTGATGGCTGCCGGTGCGCGTCAGGTGTCCATCGAGCCCGACAACACGTCCCCTGCAGCCACAGATGTGGTGGTGTCTCTCCGCTTTAAGCTGAGCCACGAGATCAAGGGCAAGACCCGAGACATCAGCCTGCAGGTAACCACATCTCCAGGCTTCGTTGTCGAGTCCAACTGCGTGGCACCGGCTGAGGTTAGCGGCCTCTTCGACGACTGTCAAGGCACGGGCAGCACGGCAAGCTTGTCGATTCCCGCCGAATCCCTTCAGGTGACAAGCTCACACTCAGCAGAGAAGCGGAGACATATGGTGTTCACGGTCCCTTCGCTTCAGGCGGGGAAGATGTACACCACGGGTGTGATTGTGAACAACGCCGTGTCGACAGGCAGTGAAGGCAACGAGTGGGAGCTGCGAGTTAGCATCAGCGGGGTCATCGCGGTAAAGTCCACCTTTGAGGGCTACGCCATCAGCGAGATCCAGGCTGCCGTCAGTGGATCGACGGTGGTTGGCAGGCAGACCTCTGTGCTCTTCACCTTCCTCTCCACCAAATCCGTGCCTCTGGGCGGGTCGATCCTCATCAAGAGCCCGATCTCGTACCTGCTGTCGTGCAGCAAGATTGAGTGGGGCAACCTGCCTCCGGCAACCGAGTGCCTGCAGGACCCAGAAAACAACCACGAGCTGACGCTGCAGCTCAACCGAGACAACGGCACCCTGCCTGCCAACGTGGAGTACCTGTTTGGCATCCAGACCATCAATCCGACGGTCCAGCCGAACCCCAATGTGTGGGGCATCACTCTCAAGGACCGCACTGGAGACATCCTCGACGCCAACCTGGAAATTGCGGGATGGACGCTAAGTCGGTTTGACATCAGCGAGGTCAAGATGAGCTCGACCACAACAGCACCATCTGCGTCGAATGTCATTCAGGTACGAAGACACAAGAAAGGTCTTTTCCTCATACTGACCCTCTGCTGTGCTCAGATTCAGTTCCGGATGGTCGTCATCGAGCCCGGCGAGGGAAACCAGATCATTCTGATTTCTCCCGACAACTTCAGGCTGTCTGAAGACGTCTGTCGCAGCCTGAAGACCCATCTGAAAGTGTTCCGTTCACTGGTCTTGCATCCGACGTTGGAGCCACGTGCAAAGATCAGACGCTGACCATGACACTGGATCCGGAGGCCGAGCACCCGCCTGCAGAATATGCATTGAGAATAAGAGGTGAGCAGACGCACCCACACACACATACCCACACACGCACCAGAGGATTTGTCGAATTATTATTGTGTCCATGTCTGCGAATCGATGGATGCAGTAACGAACCCACCGGAGGCCCAGATAGTGTCGATATGGCGGCTGCAGGTCTACAAACTGGGCATACAAGTAGCGACCTACCCCATCAATGTCAACGTCTTCGACGAGAGCGTCGCCACGCTGCAGCTGACTTCCACCACCAGTCCACTGAGGCCCAATCTTGTGCTGTTATGTCTGGTGCTGTGCCTCTCGTCGCTACTGTTGCTGAGAGGGAGCGATTCCCTGAGCTATGTCGCGTGGCGAAGGACGGAAGGTCGGAGCTGCTCGTTCGCAAGGCGGCTGGAAGACGCCTTTCTGGTTCCAAATGGTGAAGAACATCACGTGCCATCGGTTCGCAGAAGGAAAAGCCGATTGAGAGGGACAAGAAGAGACTGTCTCTGAGAAATGTCTGTGAGTGAGACATGCAGGCATTGCCACGGAACACATAGCATGTGTGCCTTTCTACGTGCCACTGCACTGCGAGGGAGCGAGCGGGCGAGCCTCCGTCATTGTCAGATCAGCTCTGACGGACACTGTGTGAAAAATGTCTGCAGCCGCGTAGTCTGTGTCTCTAGCCTGAGGAAGGGAACAAGGTGCATGGTGTGACACATGGATGTTCGTGAGTTGTCTGGCCTACCAGTGGTGGCTGTGCTGATAGAACGAAGCCATCTCGGTGTCCTGCACACCAGCAGAAAACACGCAGAGCACACACACACACACATTCAGTCGGATTCGTGTCTCATTTCTGCGTGTGTGTGTACGCTGAAGAGCAGAGGCCCTTTGTCTTTGGACTCGTCAGTGGGCATCAGACACGGCATCTCTCCAAACAGGCTGGTGCTCGACTGCCCCTCAGTCCGGCGGCCGTACCGCATTGCCATCAGCCGGTGCACAACTGTTGTGAAGGCCTTGAGGTTGATGGCCGCCTGCTTGTTGCTCCTGCCCAGGCACAACCAAGATGCACAGCCCAGCACCAGTCTTTGTTCTTTGTCCTTCTCCTGCCGCCCACAGTCGCCCCCCGCCCCCCCACGCACCCAGGAGAGACGCCGGTGAGGATGCGTTGGAGCAGCACCCTCACACCCACAAAGCCAGCGATCAGCACCTCACCCCCAAACGACACAGTCTCCTCGTCATCAGCCGGGAAGAAGTCGTCTCGCTCTTTGTCTTCCTCGGATGGCACTACCACCGGTCTCACTCTGCACCTCACACACACAACGTCAACACGGGCCTTCTCTTTCTGTGTCCTCTGTCTTCTCACATGAGAGCGCCGTGGATGTCCTTGTCGAAGTGCTGTGCCTCCCAGGGCATGAGGTAGTCGTCGGGCACGTGCACACGGGAGGCCGTCAGCTGACAGAAGAACTTCAGCAGGGGTGGCGGCGGAGGCTGCTGCAGCAGCTCCTCAAGCAGCTGAAGCAGGACCTCCACGCGAAGCTCCAGCTGCCGTCTTGGCGTCAGCGGCGCATTGGAGGCCTGCTTGCTCGGGAACAGCTCAGCAGGCGCCTTCGCCGGCGGCTGCCCGTTGACGACGATATCAGGAACCGGACTGGCCCCGGCCGGGGATGCGTCTCCGCGCCCGGAGTGCTGTGGCTGGATGCTCGGTGGTCTGCGAAAGGTGAGCAGCCGACCGGTGATGCCCCAGCGGAGTTCCTCGGGCTCCTTTGCGAGACTCGCTGGGTCGTACTTGCGCTTGGTGTCGGAGAGAATGGTCAGCAGGCATGGCTTGATCTGCCGCAAGATCCACGTCTTGCATATCTGACAGAGACAGGGTGACTGGGAGGGTGTCCTGGGGAAGCTCCCTGGTCACACGCACCCACCTCGATGTAGAGGTGGAGTTGGCTGCTGAAGCTCTCCAGGGCTTTCTCCCGCACCCACTGGTTCGACTCGATCACCTGCCACACGACACGACGTGTGGGCATGCATATTTGTGCATTTGTGTGAGACGTCCCCCTCTCTCGCCTCCTACATACGTCTTTTTTGAGGACGTATGGGTAGAAAGCGGCCAAGCCAGCCACTCGGAATCGGGATAGCGCACTCCGCTTGCGCTTAGCCTCTAGAGGCTCCGTTGACGCCGGCTTCTCAGCATCCTCGACCGATTTCTCGCCCTCGTCTCCTTCCCTGTCTCCGTGTGTGTCTTCTTCCTTGTCCATCTCCTCAGTGTGCTCCTCGTGCTGCTCGTCTTTAGGCTGTTTCTTCTTCTCTCTCTTCTCCTTGCGTTTCTTCCGCTTGTCCTCGTCATCGAACTTGAGCCATCTCGATGGATCCTCCGCAGGGTCATCGGGCCCATCGTCGTGGTCGTCGGCGCTGCTCTCCGCGCTGTTTGAAGAGCCCTCTGCCTCCTCCTCCTCAGCCTCATCCGTCTCCACCGGCTCCTGCCCTTGATGGGCAGCATGCAGGCGAGCAAACAGTCCGTGTGTGTGTGTTGACAGGGGAGTGTGGTGCCTCACCTTGATGCTGACTGATCGTTTGCGAGGCTGGTCTGGGGAGCGGCTCTCGGTCTGCAGTTGGGAAGAGCGAGGCTCGTGCTTTCGTGCGGCTGGTCGATCACACACACGAGAAACAGGCAGCACTATCGCCCGTCTCATCATTGCCTTGGTTGCACTGATCTTACGTGGCGGGGCCTCCCCCTCGCTTCTCCGTCCGTGATCATCGCTGGTGCGGTGATGATTGAGGGCCAGGGCGAACAGCATGCTCTGAATGTCCCCCTGTCTCTTGTCGATGCCCTCAAGCAGTTTCTCCATCTGGTGAGACTGGGCCGGCGGAGGAGGCGGAACATGTGGATACCCATAAGGAGACGGCCACACAAATGGGGGAGGCGGCTGGGGTTGGCTTCTGAGCATCATAGTCTCGGCCCTTTGCCTCTCGATTCTGTCCAGCTTGCTCTTCAGCTTCTCCATCTGTCGCTGATTCTCCCATAACGTGTTGATCATGGTGACAAGATCCGAAAAGGGGGGTTTTGATCAGAATCCGTCGTCTGGAGGAGGGGGGGGGGGGCTCGCGCCGTCTCAGAATCAAGGCAGGCGAGAATCGCGACATCACTGGAATTCACTGACTCGCGTCGAGAATCTGGCTGATCTGGCGCATTCGTCACTGCTGCTTCCCTTCTTCCCCCCCGAGGTGGTCCAGTCGGGCGACCTTGGGCCTGCCAGCCGCCCACTCGGCGAGATCTCCCTCCGCGCGGCGCGATCTCACCCGCCGCTGACCTGCTGAACGCACTGACGGCAGGTTTGACACACAGCCCCTACTGCCAACAGACTCGGCGCTCAGATATCATCGCTATAGAAGAGAAGATGGCTCCTGCACTGCCTCCTTGCGTGACCCTCCCCGCCACGGCGGCCGTGACTGCCGCCCAGCAGTGCGTCACATGGCAGGCTCAGCCGGCCTCTGACGAGGAGCGAGAGGTGCTGGGTCAGGCGCTTCTGTCGCTGTACCAGGACCAGATACGGCCGCACGAGCCCGACGTGTTGCGGCGGCTGCAGGAGAACGGGGCGAGCGAACACCTGCAGCAGAACTTCCTGAGGCTGTATGAGACACTGCCCGAGTACTCGGTGCTGTACAATGAAGGCAGCCCTGTGGTCATGTTCAAGAAGGAGCCAGGTGCGTCAAGGAAGGAGGGTGGGGGGTGAGGTCCTTTCTGTGTGTGCGGGGTGGCATGGCATCGGATGGCATGATGTGTTGTGTTGTGTGTGTGTCATTTAGAGTTGTTTGAGGGTTGGATTGATCCGAACAGTTCAGACGACCCCTACCCCGAGGAGGTGTGGCAGGGCTTCCTGGGGCACATTGCAGTCCTCATGCAGACCACCAACAGTGGCAAGAGACCCGAATGTCCTAACCTCGGTGAGTGAGAGCCGAGGCACAAGACTCACTCACAGCACATTGGGAGGGGGAATGACGACACACGTCGATGTTCCGTCTTCGTGGGGGCGTGTGGTTCTCTTCTCAGGTCGTTACCAGTTCAAGGGCGGTCGCTATGGCATGGCAATGGAGCTGTACCGGCAGCAGCTGTCCTTCCTGCAGCACCTCACCCTCGGGCAGGTCTGCCACCTCGTCCAACTCGCCATCTCACGAGGCATACTCGCTTACGAACGAAGGTCAGCAGCACTTCTGACTGACAACCATGCACCCCTCCCACCTCACCTGATTGCTCTCCTTGTCTGTGTGTGGTCTCAGCGTGTTGCAACCGGTGGCAGCGGTTCGCAAGGCGGCGTGCGCAGCGGTGTCCAAGCCTGTCAAGGAGGAGGTGCACCCGCACCCCCTGCCCACCCCCCAGACACAGACTCAGGCACCCCTCCCCAACACCAAGGACATTTCCGGGCTGCGCGAGCAGATCAAGGACCTCCTCGACGAGAGGCCGAATGGGGTCATACTCTCAAGACTCAACAGGGAGTTCTCTGCCAGGTGCATGCGTCTGTGAGTGAGTCCATGTGACCGATACGAGCATATCTGTGTGTGTGGATGCCGTGTTGTTCTGTGACATGTGGTATGGTATGTGGTCAGATACAACAAGCGGATCGACCCGACTGTGTATGGGTACACCAAGATGAGCGACTTCCTCTTGTCTGAGGAGCTCCGCGACGTGTGCCGCGTGTCGGTCAACCGCCGCAACCACGTCATCGTCCAGTCCACGAGGTTCCGCGTACTCGACAAATTCACACCCCTGCCAGTCGACAGCAAGGTAGGTCGGCGATCTATCCATCGGCCATAGCTGTACTTGACCAAACCAAATGCCGCAGCTGCCTCACGTGTGTGTTGTGTTTGGTGTCTTGTCGTCAGGTTGCGTCCCTGCCGTCCGGCTACTGGACCCCCGCCAACGCGCAGCTCACCTGGAACTTCTGGACATGCTTCACGCCGGCCCTCCTCTCAGACACACCCTCCTCCACGACATCCACAGCCACATCCACATCGGCGTCATCGTCATCGTCTCCCGCGTCGCTGCCGTCACCTCCCCTTCCCCCCTCCCTCCCCACCCACTTCCCACCGTCAGCCAAAGAAGCAGACAGCGATGCAGACGAAAAGGCCTCCAACTCGACGGGATCCACAAGGTTCACACACGCGCTCGGCGTGTCTGACGTCAGCGGGAGCAGCGGCCGGTCGTCGTCGTCAGGCAGCGACAGCCCCAAGAGCATCACCAGCAGTGAGAGCGGCTTCGACGGGCTGTCCGATGGCCACGGTGGGATGGTGCCTCCCTTCGGCGCCCTACTGCCCCGCCCCGTCCTCTCTTCTGCGAGGAGAATGCAGCCGCGGTGCACCAAGGGCGGCAGGTGGCAGCAGCAGCAACAGCAGCAGCACCACCGTCAGCAACAGGGTGGCGTGCGAGTGCTGCAGTGCCAAGTGGGCGGCAGCGGGCATCAGACGCTCCCATACCCCTATCACCAGCAGAGGACGGCAAGGCAAGCAATGACGACGAGAGGGGGCCGGTTCTAGTCACGGGCATTCAATTCAGCTGATGCATTCTGTGTGGCGGTACGTTTCTCCGTTGGGCTGCTGCTGCTGCGCTACGTTAATGAAATGTGCCATTTTTGGGTGCACAGGGGGTGTGTTGTGGTGTGGGAGGACGGACGGCTGGCTGCGGTGCGGTGCTCGTTTGAATGAGCATGCTCTCATAGAGAGGAATCAATCAAGACGATCCGATCCGCCCAGCCACCCACACGCGTGTGTGTCTCCGCGTTTTGACGGAGATGCCGGTCGGCCAGCCAGCCAGACGACGAGACGAGAGGAGAGGATGGGGATTTTTGCCTGGGGTGTGCGGTGCGATCGGTGCTTTCTCGTGCCGTGTGAGTGACTGCGTATGCGTGTGTGTGCGCGAGTGAGTGCCGGAACGGCCTTCTTTTGTCCCTCTCCCCTCCCTCCCTGCCCTCCCTGCCATCTCATCTCATCTCATCCCTCGCCTGTCCTGGCCACGTACCGGCCAGTCAGACTTTCAATTCCTCGTGCATCGTGCCGCGCGAGACGCTGAGTGAGCAAGGAAGGGAAGGACACAGAGAGGGAGGGAGAGGGGGCGTCAAAGCGGAGTGAGTGAGGGTGTGTGTGAATGTGTGCATGTGTGTGTGAGTGTCCTTGGTGGTGGTGGTGGGGTGGCGGTCGTGACGGCATCTATCTACCTCACATCCCTAGTGGACGCGCCGTGACACCGCCCACCCATACCGTCAGTCGGACCAGACACACACAGGGGAGGGGAGGGGTGGGAGAGGGGGACGCTGTAGGGTAGGGGGGCAGGGGAGGGGTGTGTCTGAGATGATGATGAAAATGATGATGATCTGTGCCTGTGCCTGGTGGGAAACCCGTCCAGGTATGTGTGTGTGTGCTGCCGTTTTGACCTCCTTTAAATAAAACGAAAGCTGTTATTGCTCATGACATTGTCCGTGGCCCGTGCGTGGGTGCATCTGTGTGTGTGGGGGTGAGGGTGAGGGTGGTGTGAGAGGGGGTCGCTGGGCTGGCCGGGGTGCGGTGCATGGTGCAGTGCTGTGTCTGGGCTGTGACGTGGTGGTGGTGAGAATGAGAGTTTTTGCCTTTCATGTCATGGGGGCAGCGAACGAACGAACGGACAGACACACACACGCATTCATCCATCCATCCATCCAGATCGCTCCAGCAGCTTTCATCACCAGTCAAGGCAGAGCAGGAAAATGTTTGGTGGTGGGGGTTGGGGTCTCAGCACAGCGATGATTTTGAGATGGGGTTGTGGCCGTTTCTATGTGGAGAGCTTAAGAGCTTCTCGACTTCCTTCGGTCTTGTAAGGGGTGCCAGAGAGAGTGCTGCCCCCTCGGTGGGCGCGGCGCTGAGATGCTGCCTGCACGACGGCCATCGACAGGAAGGCTGCTGGATGGATGGATGGATGAATGAATTGTTCACTCTCACTGGTTCGTTCGTCCGTTCGGCTGTCCCAGAGTGGTTCGCCCACGCCTGTACAAGTGTGCGTGTGTTGACACACACACACACACTCACAGACACTCACACACAATCACACACATTCATATCTGCTATGGAATTGTGCGTGCGTATACTCTGACTATCACTAGCTGATTACCTGAAGGAAGAGCATCCGACCAGCTTCTAGCTAGGTACTCACTCTAGCTAGTTTGTGTCCCACCCGTTGATGGTCGGTTATGGCGTGCCAGCTCTCAACAGCGCCCCAGTCCCCTGCTCACGTTGGGACTGACGCGAAGTTGGGGAGGGAGGAGCCATGAGCGGCCGAAAGCCACACGAACAGGCAGGCAGACAGACAGGCAGACTGACAACGGTGTCAAGTCGACCGACCGCCCCTTTTGCTCCTTTCATGGGCGGCTCGGTGACTTTTGTCCTTTCCTTCTCTCTGTGAATGGAATGTGCGTGTGTGGTTTGGGTGAAGTGAGTGAGATACATACATGGTTACAGGGATAGCGCTCGCTCACGAGATGCAGCACGGTCGCGTCGCCTGCATCTGTGAGTGCCGGGGAGGGAGGGAGGGAGGGCACTTCGTGTGTGGGTGTGGGTCTGTGTCATGTGTGGGTGTGACTGTTGTGTGTGTGTTGTGTTCCTCCTTAGCCCCAGGCCGAGTGCATCTTGCACGTGGGGAGGGGAGGACACACCACACCACATGACATCGCACACGGGGGAGCGGGTGGGTATTTTTCGTGGTGGATGGATGGACGGATGGGCGGCATGGAGAAGTTGGCTGCGTGTGTGGGACGTGATGTGTGTGTGTGTGTGTGTACGCTGTGTGTGTCTGGGAGACAGTCAGTCCTCATTTGGGAGGCAGAGTGGGTGCGGCCCATTCTTGTGTCGGTCGATCTGCGTGGGTTGGGCGTGGCGTATGTGTGCGTTGTATGTCTGTGTGTGTGCGTGAGCCAACGATTTTTATCTCCACAGCTAATGCTAATACCAATATTGCCTTTGTCTGTCCACGGACCAGGGTGTGTGTGTGGGTGCGCGAGATTGTTGGCTATATGGGGGTGGGCGGCCGGCTGCCGATACGAGGCAGGCCAGGTCTCGGTGCGCTCCCCTCCGCTGCCGTGTAAGTGTGCAGCTGTTGGCCCTGACTGGTACCTGGTACACGCAGCGGCACGGCGCTCTGCTTCACACACTCACACACACACACACACACACATTCCTAGCTGACCTGATTGATCTCCTGGATAGAGAGAGTCGCGAATTCAGTCACACGGCCCAGTGTGTGAGTGCTGCTGCTAGTACGAGAGGGAGGGAGGGAAGGAGTGAAGCGGTCGACCAATGCCATTGCATGTGAGCGAGTGACTTGACTGCCCTGACTGACCACAGGCCAGGCGCCCGGACGGCAGCCCAGCAACACAGAGTGTTCAGCTGAGCGCCGCTATCCGCTAGACAGGGCAGCCCTTTCTGCCTCTCTGCCTGCCTGTAGTCTGTCTTCCTGTCTGCCTGCCTGCCTGTGTGGTTGTGCGCCTAATGGAGTGGGTGGCTCTTCCCGAAGGGACGTCTGCCGCCGGGTGGGCGTCGTGGTGCGTCCATGTGTGTGAGTGTGTGTGAGTGTGTGTGTGTGTGTGGTTTGGACTGATTGGTGAGTTCTGAAAGAGAGGGAGGGGTGGTGTGGTGTGGTGTGGAAGAGCCGTACGGTAGAGTCTGACGGACCGAGAGACTGCAAAGAAAGTTTTTCCCTGGCCTAGTTGAATAACCTATTACTTGATTGAACGCTGAAACAACCGAGGTGGCTGACGACAGACGGAAACACAAGACGACCACAACCAGCCCTTCGTTGAGTGCCCGCACACATCATCCCTTACGTGTGGTCAGCACATGACACGCACACACGCACTCTCGCGCGACAGACTCTCTCTCAGCAAAGCCGATAAAGACCTAAACTACAGATGTCCTTCCTGCCCGACTGTCTGGCTGCGCGTCTTGTGCGCTTGAGATCACGGACTTCTTCGTGAGGAACCTCCATCGCCTTATCCAGGGGATGGAGACCGCTCTCAAAGAACTCCCTGACGCCGCGTGCACAGTGACACGACAGCAACAGCACCGACACAGCCCCAGTGACAACTAACTGTACAGCCAGTGGCACCTGCCTGCCCGCCTCCCCCTCTCATGGTCATGGGAGCATGTGATCGTCTGGCCTCGTCTCGACGGCGACCCCATCCGAGAGGGGCTCCTCAATCAGATAACAGTCCTCCGCCTCCTCACCATGCTGCACCACACACACAGAGGGAGGAGGACACACACACACACACAGAGAGAGAGAGAGGGGGGGGGGGGG